TATGGAGTAGGAGGGTTATGGGGTTATGATACAACGACAATGAATTTCAATCCGTTTCTGATCAATAACCACTTAAGTCGGATTGAAATTTCAAAAACCACTTTCTAGAGTTATAGGATTAAGGGGTTATTGCACCCGATGTATGAGATCCATATTCCCACAGAGTTTCATGGTTATACATCCCCGCACACCTCTGGTTACGGGGTTGTGAGAACTTACCAACCCACAGTTACGTAGTTTCGGACTTTTGGACTCCTGATGTATGAAATACTTCTTCACTTACCCCAGATAACGGGGTTATGGGGTTAGAGAAGCCTGTCAACCCACAGTCATTAGTCATAGTTTCAGACCACTGATATATGAAATCTACATTCTCACAGAGTTTCATGGTTTTACACTTTCTCACCCCATGAATTATGGGGTCACGAATTTATAGGGTTACGGGTTATAAGGCTATGGGGTTATAGGGTTATAGTGCAAAAAGATCATTAATGCTTTTCTAAATAGTGACTAATTAAGTCAGTTTGAAATCTCGTAGGCCGCTTTCTAGAGGGCTGTTAGGGTCAAAAAGACGAACTTATCCGGATATTCTGACTTTAGATTCAGATTCAGCGGGTCATAGTACTAAGGGTCCACGGTCCAGCCCATTTCCTTTTGTGACGCTGAGTAAATAGACAAGCATTTGGTAAACCTGCGACATAATTCATGCTCTATCCTCCTTTGATTTTTTTATAATCCTGTACATTATAGGTTTTTTATTTATAATTAATCTAGGTATAAACCAAAATCGATACGTATCTGCGCCCTCACAACTGTACTTGAAATTTAGCGACCGGGGCGAACCATCCCCTTGAGGATTGTACTTAGTCCCCCTCAAGGCATTAAATAATACCATCTTCCCTTCCCCGATGTATTACGCGACGACATAACGCTCTGGAGAAAAGTAAATAAGGCGCGGATTGTTAAAAGTCAGCTAAACCTCAAGACCCTCGAGGGTACAGTACCTACGTCGAAAGGGGTTTACATACCTCGCTTCAAAGCGATTGTTTTAGTGACATTTCGATCAAGGGCACTCTTAAGTAAACACTCGTATATGAGATGAGAGACATGGCAGGAAAGGGTGAAGATGATAATGACAGGGGCATACACACAATACTAAAAAGTGGTAGAACAATCAAAACTGATACAACAGGAAATTTTATATGCATATTTATATCATGTTTATATAAAAATGCCTTATTTTACTTTGCTCAATAAATAAATTTGAAGTTTTGCTTGCATCCAATTTGATTCAGTTAATCATATACGTATTAATAATGCAATAATCTTTCATATGTGATGGATGTCCCAAAAGAAATTCAGGATTTCATGTGAGGCAAAAAGTTATCCTCCGCATACTCGACTTCATTCAAGAAAATTCTGCATAACGCTTTCGCATACCAGCGGCTGAATTTCGTTGATAACTCTCCTAATTGCTGCCTTTGATTCAGAAATGGTATTCATTTGAGCAGAATAAACTTTGGACTTTACGAATCCCCACAGAAAAAAGTCGCATGGCGTAAGGTCGCATAATCTTGGTGGCCAAGTCATGTCACTCTTATGTGAGATTAGTCGTCCATTAAATTTCTGCCGTAAGTGAATAGTTTTACATGCCGTATGGAAGGGGATATCATCCTGCTGGAACCACATGTCATCCAAATCCATGCCATTAAAATGAGGCCACAAAAAGTTCAATAGCATCTCTCAATATCATTCTCCATTTATGGTCACTGCGTTTCCAGCTTCATTTTCAAAAAAGAACGGACCAGTCAGCGCACCAGCGTAAAATCCACACCACACTGTCACTCTTTGGTACGCAGTGGTCGTTCTTGAATGACCAGAGCATTGTCTCTGCCCCAAGTTCGACAGTTTTGCTTGTCCTCATACCCACTAATATGGAAATGCGCCTCGTCGCTAAAGATATTTTTTTTTAGCAAAATCACCGTCCACTTGTTGATTCTCCAGCATCCAATCAACGAATGTCCGGCGCATTTATTGGTCGTCTTGTTTCAATCCCTGGGTTAGCTGAATCTTGAATGGATGCAGACGCAGATCTTTTGTTAAAATCCGCTGCATTGTGCTTTTTCAAATGTTTAATTGCAGTGACCTACGGCACACTGACGTTACGGGAATTTCTGCCACACTATCTCTCACCGTAGCAATATTTTCGGCTTAACGGCCAGTACGAGACCGGCTTGTTGTTTTATTGTCTGCAATCGAAGCTGTTTGTTCAAATTTGGCAACTAATCCTTTCACAGTTTCATTCGGGGCATTCCTTCTACCGAAAATTCCACGTGATTTGCGCACACTCTCAGCTACACACTCTCCGTACTTGTAATAAATTTTCTCAATCTTCAGTCACTCATCCGTTTTATAACACTCCATTTCGTATAACCGCAACGTTTTACTACAACGTACGACCCTGCACAATGCTGCCAACTCTTCGAAATTAAAATGGCGCACAATTCAAATTCTGCGTTACTTTTGGGACACCATTTAGCTGCCATTTGAGCCATACCACACGCATAAAAAATGTTGTGTTATACCTAGTGTTGGCAATTTTAGAGATGCCAACCCAGGACATTCCTATTTGGCTAGAACAGGACGCAGTGCAGTGCTTTAACAAGAATTTTGGAGCGTAACCGCCCTGAGTAAGCAATACAGGTGAATTTTTTTGGGCAAAGTTACGGTCACAGTGAATGAACGTAGAACAATGAATGAATTACAAAAAAGTCTCCGAAAGCAAATATGCACGTAATAAATGTCACATAAAATTAACTTTTATAAAAAAAATAAAATTTTTTCCGCACAGAAAAATAAAAAATAAGAAAATACGACAAAATAAATACATGTACCTATAGTTATAGTATATGTATAGTCTTTCGGATCTCAATTGAAGAACCAAGAGGTTGGCAGTATGTACCAGGTTCGGTCACTGACGCAGCAACTTGGCATTGAAATATTTAAAAAACTTGTTCCCATATTTATTTAGCCATACCCATATACATGTACAGTCGCCCAGTTGAAAGAAAAGAAAGAGCGCGCGGGCAAACGCGGCACAAACACAGCCGCACTGGGCGACCTGGCCATAAATTCAGTTGTCAACAAATGGGCTAGCAGTGCAGTGCAGAATGCGGAATTTGGTGTGATTCTGGTAATTTTAATTTATTATAGGCACCTTCTATTAATCATTCATATTACAATTGCGAAAGAGGGATAATTTGTTTACTAATATTATTACAACATGGCATTTTGGTGACCTTTTGAAACGGAACAAAATGAAATGTACCATCAGTATAATAAAATTGTTTGAGGACATAAATAATTAAAATATGTTGGTCAAAATAGAAATTTTCTACACATTATATACAAATTATTATTATTATTATTTTTTACCTTTAACCAGAAAACTTTTTTAGGGCTGCCTATGAAACTCATATTTGAATAATTCTAATTTTTTCGAATTTTAACCCCCAAGAACGGCGGTGAAAACATTTTTAAAATTATGGCGATGTTTCGAATGGTAGCTATGTCCTGTACACATTTAGTTTCGCGCAACTCACTCGGTTTCAAAAATACAATACCTATGTACGTTTTCAGCCACGAAATTTGAATAATTCTAAATTTTTCGAATTTTCACTCCCAAGAACGGCGGTGACAACATTTTAAAAATTATGGCGATGTTTCGCATGGTACTAGCTATGCCATGTGCACATTTAGTTTCCCGCAACTCACTCGGTTTTAAAAATACAATACCTATGTACGTTTGCAGCCACGAAATTTGAATAATTCTAAATTTTTCGAATTTTCACCCCTAAGAACGGCGGTGACAACATTTTAAAAATTATGGCGATGTTTCGCATGGTACTAGCTATATACTGTACACATTTAGTTTCGCGCAACTCGGTTTCAAAAATACAATACCTATGTACGTTTTCAGCCACTTTTATTGCTAGGCGTTTTTATACATGTTCAACTGACTTCGGAAAGATTAAATATTCTTATTTCTTTACAACAGAATATATTGAAAATCTTTATGAAAAAAGAAAGATAATATTTGGTAATTATTTAACTAAAAGTATATCCCATTAAATATCGGTGTAATTAATGAACAATATTAATGTAAATATTGAGTAACTTTAATTCTTGTAGTTTTTTTAAATGCTATTTTTCCTTGAAGTGAAATACATGTATGTGTCTATGCACAAGAAAAATTACTGTGATCGCCAGGTAGCAACGAGGGACTTTACAATTAGAATTGATTATATTCAATATATGCTGGACTGTGCTTTGTTAGAGTTGATAAATTTTCCACATGTAATTATTCACTGTTTTATTTCTCAATACAAATAAATAAATAAGTAAAACAAATTCCGTTTATAAAAGAACATACGTAAGCCCGCAGCGAAGTTTAAATTTCTGTATTCAAAATAATGGTATGCATTTCGAGTAAAATCCATAAAACGGCATTCTTTTGAAATAACGCCATCTATAGGTTTCCATATTGAGGTAAATGACATTACGCATTCACCACGAGATAAAGCATAGCCGTCGGCCTTAGTAGGACACCCTGAAGATGTAAAATATGTTAAATGACATACACAAACATAATAAACAATGTACTGTAAAAACAACTGTCAATTTTATTTGACAAAAACAACTCATCTGAATCAAATTGTTCAACAACGGCTTTCATTTATTTTAGTGTGGCGCACTCAGCTACTATAATTCCGTCCTACAACTAACATTATTGATAAAAGCCAAAACGTTTAGATAAAATGTGCACCTACAAATCAAACTGCTCGATCAATGACTTTCGTTTGTTTCCATTCGACATTCAACTACTGTGATTTTATGCTAAAATTATAATGATGGACAAAAAAATAAATAGAGTGACATATGGTCAGTTTCACTTGTCGACTAATTTTTTACCATGTTGGTGAAATTAAATTACTTTCCAGACATTTGGTACGGTTAGAAAACTCAAAGCCGCCCATTCCATGTGAAGATGTGGAGCGCCGTGGCGCCTGATGACGTTAAAAGCGAGGCGCCGTCGGCAAGATCGAAGCACAGCGCGACGCTGGTCGGGGAGCACGTCTATCTGCTTGGTGGGAGGAATGGGAATCTTCCCACTAGGGATTTCTGGAAGTATAACTTGGGTAAGTAGTTTAATGTAAAGATGTAACACTTCGTTTACACTCAAAAAATTTTTATGTGAAGTTACACACTAGTTCATTGGTTATTTTGTCGCCACAGTAGGTAATGTAAAATTACATCATACAAGTAAAATTACATTAATAATGTAATTTTACGCTTTTTGTGTAGTTCACCCAAAATGTAAATTTACATCATCAATACATGTATGAAGTGTGTCCTTTTATGTTCTCTACAAATGAGTAACTTTTTTATTATCAATCTGACGAAACAAAGATATTTTTTATAAAAGGTTCTGCATTAAATTTTTCACATTTGAGATAGCATGCAAAAATGAAAAATCAAGCTTAAATCATGAATATGAGCCTGTTTTCCGGCGATATTGAAATAAGGTATTTTCCAAGCTTCGCCGTCTGGAACAAGTCACTGATTAGTTACATCAAAAGGCCTTTGGATGCATAAATTCACGTCTAAAAAATAAATTACATTCAATAATAATTATTTTAAAACATTTCTAATAATGACANTTTCTGGAAGTATAACTTGGGTAAGTAGTTTAATGTAAAGATGTAACACTTCGTTTACACTCAAAAAATTTTTATGTGAAGTTACACACTAGTTCATTGGTTATTTTGTCGCCACAGTAGGTAATGTAAAATTACATCATACAAGTAAAATTACATTAATAATGTAATTTTACGCTTTTTGTGTAGTTCGCCCAAAATGTAAATTTACATCATCAATACATGTATGCATTCTTTTATGTTCTCTACAAATGAGTAACTTTTTTATTATCAATCTGACGAAAAAAAAAAAAAGATATATTTTTTAAAAGGTTCTGCATTAAATTTTTCACATTTGAGATAGCATGCAAAAATGAAAAATCAAGCTTAGATCATGAATATGAGCCTGATTTCCAGCAATATTGAAATAAGGCATTTTTCAAGCTTCGCTATCTGGAACAAGTCGCTAATTAGTTACACCAAAAGGCCTTTGGATGAATAAATTCATGCCGCAAATAAATTACATTCAATAATAATTATTTTAAAACATTTCTAATAATGACAGGAGTTATTCAAAGTCTTCTATTGTCTCCCTGATTACTCTCTCCAAATGGTCAATATTTTGAAAAGGCCCTTGCAGGTACACCTTTTAAATAGCGTCATAAAAAATAAACGGGAGGGGTCAAACCCGGGCCAGAAAATGTGAAAATATCTATCAATTGTTCTTCCATTAAAAATATTACTTAGATATTGCCTTATATCTCTTGTACTGTGGCATGGCGCATCATCCTGTTGGTACCACAATAATTATTGTCGTCTCTGTTCATTAATAAAATCGTATAAAAAAAGTATTTAAGAAATTTAGATAACGTTCACTATTTAATGTTTCACGAAAAAAGACTGGTCCAGTTATTCCATCATTATAAATCCCACACCACACATTTGTTTTAAGTAAGTTCGAATAGTAAAATTACAATTAACATCACTCCACCAACGACAATTTTGAGAACTCACTGTTTCATTGGAACTGAACGTTGCTTCGTCGGAAAAAGTAATATTTCTGGCCATAAAAGGATAATTTTCTAACTCTCCTTGTATCAAAGAACTAAATATTTCAAAATCGTCTAATCTTAAATATGTATAATTTTGGTTTGTAAGGCCGAAATTTGTTAAGTTTTAATATTTTTGAAATTGTCGTCTTGCAAAATTTTTCCGCAAAAGATCAGACCTTGTTTCAATATTGCCCAAAACCTTATGTATATGCTATATCAAATGTGAAAAATTTAATACAATTTATTCAAAAAGCAGATTTTTTTATAAAGAATATCTTTTTTTCGTCAAATTGAAATAAAAAAAGTTACCTCAAGTTATCTCAAGAACAAAGCCGTTACGGATCCATGTTCATATGAACTTTTTATCATAAAATTAGTCAAAGATTCACCCTTTGAAGTTTGTACAACTACATAATAAACACCCTGTATATTGTTTCCGTTTTAATGAGCATGATTTCAGTAGCGTATAGAGAAGGTCATTTTAAGCAAAATATTTTCAATGAACATATTCCTCAAACCTTTTCTTTTTCGAGATACAGGGTGTTAAAGTTAAAAAAATAAAAAATCGTTTTTTTTTTCTACCTATTATCTTGAGAATGAAAGGAAAGGATATTTTTTGCGTTTAGGAAATGTTTGCTGAATTACTTTTTACAAACGTGACAAATCTCACATTGATAGATTCACCCAGTACTTACTGGGTACATATTACTATTTTCTTTAAAAAAATAATGGCACGGCAATGTTTTAATGACAATATTCGTCCCTTTTTAGATCTTCAAATATTTTAAGAAGAAAAGTTATTCTTTAACTTTTTTCATACGTTGCACAGTTTTACAATAAAATTGAAGTTAATTGATAACATCAATGTACACGGTAACAAAATTTAATTACTATTAGGCGGCTTTGATTACTATTTAGATTGTCAATCATTTGACAGAAGTCAACAGTTTTTCCATTGTTTATTTCAATAATTTTAAAAACTCTCACAATTTAGTTGCCCAGGAAAAAGTTAAAGAATAGTGTTTCTTCTTAAAATATCTGAGGATTCTAAAAACGCTGTTGGCTCTTTTTCAAAGTAAAGTAGGCCAAAGCTTATATCGATGCATTTCCCCTCAAAAGGGATGTTCATTTATGCTTAAAAAATTAGGTAGTGCTATTTAAAAAAATGTCGATGACGTCATAGGTTTAAGCAACGTGACACAACGACAATTCTTATTTACTAATTGACGTGTTTTAGCGTTTTTGTGAAAACGCAACACAAAATGAAATACGAATATCTATACCTTTATACTGTATCAAGAAATCTGTGTAAAAAATGTAGTCATTTGTTTTCTGTATCTCCAATAGCGGCTGTGAAATATTATATTTCTAATATGAGAAACGTCAAGGTCTCGCGATATGAAACATTTTTCATAAAAATACGAGCGTACTTAAAGATGGAACAGACAGTTTTTCAGTAGACGATAACATAGTGCAGGGCCTGGATTTACTCACAAGCTTTTATTTCGAATTTATTTCTTAATGTTATGTAAGATTTTGGTAAGAAGTGATTCTGTTCTGTTGTTTCTCTATTTTTCACAGCTCCTCTACTATCTTGATAATACGGAAGTTTAATTTTAAGCAAGATTAAAAGAAGAGGAATATACATTTTTTAATGCTTTTTTATATATGAAAAATTAATTTGTGATTGATGGTAAATTTATTCATTGTCCTTAACTTGATAACTTCTATTACCAATATTGAGAACAAAACCCACGCATATCATATGACCTTTCCTTTTACGTAGATGTTCAACCTATCCATCACGCCAGAATATCCTGTATTCATATATCCAAACATGAATATAGCTGTTTACTTAAAGGGAGAGACTCTGCTTTGATATCCCCTTTGATAAATGATATTCTAAACTTTGTCGATTACTTTATCTCCTTTTCGTGTAAAATAAATACGTTACGTCAAACGAAATTTTGAGGAAACAGGGAAAATCTGAGTGAATATTTATCAAAATATAGAAAAATGAACCCTTGGGTATGGGTTCGAAAATAACCAAACTTTTTGTATATAGTGTTATGTGGTTGGCGGCTTAATATTTTGCTCCCATTATTCCGTTTTGATTTTTTAATAAAAAGGGCCATGATTTCTATTTTTTTTCTCGACAACAAAGCGACCTAGCTGACACATTGATCCTTTACTTCGTTATTAATTTACCGATTTTTGGATTTCGTGGTGAATTTAATTGTGAAATAATTCGAAATATGTAATACACGTTTAGAAGGTTATATCACGACAGATTTCCTAATCGTGCTCTGCCAAATAAGAAGACCTTTCAAAGAGTTTTTCAACGTCTAAGGGAGAACGGTGGGCGATTCCAGTTAATAAGGTTATACATATTATTGACTTTCTTCATATTTGTAGGAGAATTTGGAAAAAATAGTAGGTACTGATGCTGTTCTGAGAAGAACCGTACGTACGCAATTAGAGGGAAATAATTTAATTGCTGTAGAAGACACTCCATCGACGAGCACTCGAAAATTATCAGCACAGTTTAATACATCGAAAACAATAGTACATGAAGTTCTTCAAGAACAGATGTTATATCCATACCATTTGCAAAAAATACATGAACTGATTCCTGAAGATTTTCCTCGTAGAATGCAGTTTGCAAACAGGCTATTGCATCAGCAACGAAATAATGTAAACTTCATTAGCACTATTCTTTTCACGGATGAAGCAAGATTTACCAAAAATGGTATCATCAATTTATACAACACACATGTATGGACTGATGAAAATCCTCATGTTTACTATTGTTTCGTATCATCAACATCAGTTCCAATCAATTAACATCTAGGCAGGAATCATTGGCAATTTTTTTATTGGACCATTCGCATTGCCGGAACGATTGAATGTATAACTTTATTTGAAATTTCTTCGGAACGTTTTTCAAGATTTAATAGAACACTTACCAATTGAAACCCGCCGAAACATGTACTTTATGCACGATGGGGCACCACCTCATTTTAGCGTTGGTGTGTGGAAGCACCTGAATAACGTCTATTCAAACCGTTAGATAGGTAGAGAAGGAGCAATTGTCTGGCCTCCTCGATCACCCGACCTAACTCCTCTGGATTTTTACCTGTATTCCACTCCGGTCGACATTAGGGAGGAACTTCTACAGAGAATCACGTTTCATTGTTATGTGATAAAGAACAATGCTGGGTTATTGTGGCGGGTACAGCAGTCCTCAATTCGTCGTGCCCGCGAGTGTAACAGACTTCACGGAGCCCATGTTGAACCCTCTTATGAAGTTTTTCAATAATTTCGTTAAGGCGCCTCCTGAGACACCACTGCGTTTTTTTTATTTTGTATTTTTTCGGATTTTAAAATGAAACTTTCCCGTTGTTCGAATGACTTTCGTATCGCACTTTGTTGTCGAAAAAAAAAATAGAA